CCCCCCTCTCCGCCAATCCATGTTTCGGTTATGCAAGCCAGGTCTGCATCCTGCTCCAAGATGAGGTCATGAATTACTTGGGCCTTGTTGGATACAGACCTGGCATTCAACAACACCAGGCGTAGAGTGGAGGGCCGACTAGTCTGGCTGCCTCGATTCTGGGGGTTGGTCACCGTCTCAGAACAATGAACAGCTTTTAAGCATCTGTCCATCGTTCTAGCAGGGACGGTGCCAAGGCCATATCTCCCCCTACCCGTGATCACAGAGATGTTTTAGGGCCCCTCGCTGGGGGGGGCAGGCCTTCCATTATTGAGGGATGCATTAAATACTTTCTCCTCAGCTGTATAAAAAAATTCCTGTGGTTTTAGTCAAATTCCTATTAGAGGTTGTGGAATATCTGCTATACGTGCGTAAAGCTTTTGATAAGGACCTTACACTATTCAGAGTTTACATTACTTTAGAAATCTAATGTTTTTGCTCTTATTTTCAAAAGGAAACACTTACTCATTCTTCCACTTGTAATGTATTAGTAATATGTTACCAAAGCATTACTTTCTGTTTTTTGTACATATGCACATGTTATTAAATGCCCCCAAATGACTAAAATTATGCACCCCCACCAACATTTCAGAAGTCCTAAAGTAAATTATAGGTTACAAAGTACAGCATTACAGGTTGCTGTGTTATTTGGCTAAAATATTGTTATGCTTCATTACATTAAGATCTGTACTATGATTTAAAATGGTTTAAAATATCTTATTTTTAAAACTGTTCCATACAGTTTTGTAACCTACTCTGAGATCCTGTGATATAGGACAGGCTATAAACGTCTTAAATGAAATAAAAAAAAATAAAAATAAAAATTAATAATTTTTACCTCAATAATAGCCAAACCCAACAATTCTTTTATGCTGGTGTAATGTAATTAGTAAATCCCATTAGTTGTGCCTGCCAGTGTAACATAATCAATATAAATCTCCATGGTGAGTTGCTGCAGGTAAGGAAAAGCATAATGAGAAAAGTTCTCACCTCCAGAATATATTCCAGCTCCACTCCTCTCTTATGAGCTTGTTTCAACACAGCCGAGGCATGCGCCATCAGTTCTACATGGAACTGAGTTTCCCTCGCAAGGGTGAAACTATTTATCTTCCTGTAAAGTGTTTCTGTCAGGATCATGTGTGACTCTAGACCCTGGAAATATTCCTGAAAAATTGTTAGAAACAACAAAAAGAAATGTATCACAATTTGTGGGCAACTAAAATTTATCATTCAGGAAGATTAAAATATGACAATATAACCGTCCCAAAGCCATCCAGCCATAAAGATAGATATTAAAAGCACAAAAGCATCACTAGGACAGAAATGGAAGAACAAGATGTTTCCATTAAATTAAATACAGGAATTTAAATACTTTATTCAATTCAGCATACAGTGGTGCCTCGCTCAATGGGCGCCCCGTTTAATGATGAAATTGCATAGCGACGAAGATTTTGCGATTGCTTTTGAGATTGCATTGCAATGTTTTAAATAGGGAAAAATCGCTTTGCGATGATCGGTACCCTGTTTCGCTCCCAAAGCGATGATTTTTTAACAGCTGATTGATGGTTCCAAAATGGATGCCAGGTAAAAAAAAATGGCCGCCCGCTCTTTTCTGGGACGGATTCCTCGCTTACCGGGCAGCGAAAATGGCCACTGTATGGAGGATTTTCATTTAAAGGTGAGTCTGAAGCCCATAGGAATGCATTGAAGGGGTTTCACTGCATTCCTATGGGTTTTTTAATATCGCATAGCGACGAAATCGCTTTGCAGCGATTTTTGCTGCACCTATTATCGTCGCTACGCGAGGCACCACTGTACTTCAAAGTGCTGGTTCTAACCTATAAAGCCCTAAGCTGTCGCAAGAACCATGTCTCCCTTGATTAGCCTCCCTGGATGTTAAGATCATCAAGAAAGGCCCTTCTTTCAGTTCCCCCACCTGTTTAGTGGGGACACAGGAGAGGCCCTTATTTGCTGCTTCTCCCAGACTTTGGAACTCCCTCCCACAGGAGATCAGTCTTGCCCCACTTCTTCTGTACTTCTGCATCAGACAAGCATTGCCTCAGTGACTGGCTGGCTGAGGGTTTTTTTAAATGAATTGTTGTGCCTTACTGCTTTGAATGGGTTTTTTTTTAGTGTGACCTTACTGCTTTGAATGGGTTTTTTTTTTTAGTGTGACGTTTGTTTGTTTCTTTTTAGTATTTGTATATTTACTGAATTTAGCTTTAAATATTTTTAATGATGCCGTTAGGCTTTCTTTAAAGAGAAAGGCATGCTAAAAATATTTTAAAGAATTAAATAAATCACATGATATGTATTGTTTTTACCTTATGCTTTTCAAGAAGCATTCGGACTTCCTCTTTGGAGGAAACAATCATCTTCTGATCAACTGCCATCTTTTCTTTGCCAGTTTCAATCAAATCAGCCAGATCCTGAAGAGCTTGCTCATATTGACCTTTAAGTGCCAGATTTTGATTCAATCCACTACGCCGTGATCCGATGATCATTATCAGCTCATCATACATATCCTGGCATATGAAAAGGAAATAAAAGAGAAATTACCTTACTTTTAGTCACAGAGAAGACACACAAAGAGATAAAATATTGAAGATCCAGCCCACCCATGCAATTTTGCTGATTTGGCAATCACATGAGCTAAAATGGCTTATTTGCAATTTTATTTATTTATTTAAAAGTTATCTATAGCCATCTGTTTTTTGAAAAGAAAAGAAATCCATTCCAGTGGGGCAAGCAAGTATGCCTTGCTTATTTCATTATGCTCCAGATGTTCTAAAAAATAACAGAAACATGCAGAAGTTACCAATAGACAAACTGTGTCCTAAATAAATAGCTAAGGTCCATATTATCATGCCTTATTTTTTTTCATTTTGGATCCTTCCTGAACAGATCCTTCGGAATCCAATGAAGGATTCTCAGACAAAATTAAATGTGCAAAATAAGTGTATTTGATACTGCTCTCAGACGTTGACACAAAGATCATTCTAGCTTACACTGCACAATAGTTCTGCTTCTCATTAAGCCCTGCAGTCGATTCAGCAAGCCAAATCTCTCTCTTCCTCTCTTCCTTCCCTTTTAATACAATGAACAGTGAGTCTTGAAGTCAGTAAACTATAGAATTAAGTTATTTGAAGGAATCCACTTTGTAAAGTGGGTTGGTCCGAGCCACTTACTACCACCTTAGATGGATTGCGCAATTGCACTCTTATCTGGACACCTGGTTGCTTGACACATTGGTCCATGCACTGGTAGTTTCAAGAGCAGACTACTGGAATGCTCTTTACATAGGGCTTCCCTTGAGGCTGACATGGAAACTCCAGAAGGTCCAGAATACGGCAGCTAGGCTAGTGTATAGAGTCAGTAAATACCAAAATATCTCCCCAAACTTGGCTGCATTACACTGCTTACTTGCTTGGTTCTGTGCCAACTTCAAAGTGATGATTTTAACAAGCCTTAAACAGCTTGGGACCTTGGTACATGAGAGAATGACTCCTTCCAGCAAGAATTACCCATCCTCCCCATTCGTCCCATGCAGAATTTTCCAGGGTGTAAACCCTGAGAGAGGCCCAAAAGGAGATAACTAGGAGTCGGGCCTTCTTGGTGGCTGCACACAGACATTGGAATCACATCTGTCTGGGCTCCCCATTGATGATCTTTAAAAAAAACGCTAAAAACTTGGTTGTTTAGAAATGCATTTCCATCAATGGAAACCCATTGAAGATTTTAGCCACTGAGTCAATTCTACCACCTTTTAAACATTTGATGCTTAAATGAAACTGTTAATTTGTAATTGTGTGATTATTGATTTATTCTATGGTGCTTATATGTTTACTTTATATTTGTAGTATTGTTTTACTGTTTGATCATGTTGTGAACTGCCCAAAGTGACCTTAAGCTAGATGGGTGGTATACAAACAATTACGTAAGTAAGTAAGTAAGTAAGTAAGTCAGTCAGTCAGTCAGTCAGTCAGTAGAGCACACATTTCCGTACAGAAGATTCTAGGTCCGGTTCTTATCAACTCTAGCAAAAACAAATGGACAAAGACCTTTTTCAGAGCTAACAGGCTCACTGGCAATCATGACTGGCAGTATAATGCTAGGAAGTAGCTATTAACAGAAGTTTGTGTAAAGTAGCATCTTCTGGTATCCTATTGCTATTGCCTTCTCCCCATTCAGTGCTTGCAAACAATATTCTACATTAAGGGGCAAGTGTATTCTGGGTACTGTTGTCAAAAAGTATCTTCTCAAAGCTCTGGGGGTGGGAAAGGCAATCTTAGGGAAAGAATGTTACACTATTAATTGGCAGCAGCAGCAAAAATAGAAATGCTTTCAACCTAGAAACCAGCAGGTGCCGAAAGTCTGGAATTATAACTAAATAGTTTAAGACTTACTTCAAAGAAATTCTATATCTCATTCATTAATCATCATCATCATAGAGCTGCAGAACTGGATGGGAACTAGCTCATCAAGTCCAGTCCCTGTCAAGGAGGCTCAGTGAGGAATCAAACTCCCAACTTTTTTCAGCCAGATATATAAACCACTGTACAATCATAGAGCTGCAGAACTGGATGGGAACTAGCTCATCAAGTCCAGACCCTGTCAAGGAGGCTCAGTGGGGAATCAAACTCCCAACTTTTTTCTCTGCAGCCAGATACATAAACCACTGTACAATTCAGCAGTTCATAATAATTCCTTAGCTACAATTAGTTGAGAGAAAACAATTTTGTGATTTTAAAAAGCTCAAAAATAGTTAACAGTACTTACTTGAAGCTTAGATAACTCTTGCATGGAGGGTTGATCAATTTGCAGCTTATCTCCACATTTCTTTAATTCACTGATTCCTGCATCTAATTCTTTCAGTCCTTCTTCTGCTTGTTCAATAGCCTGCATAGGGAAGAAATACAATATTTAACACCCATATTATAAGAAGCCTGCACTTTAGCACAATGATGCTTGATGTCAGAAATGGCAACTCAGCATAGGTGTTCAGCCTTTAACTTTTCTGCTAAGTAAAGGTAACATCCTTTAACTTTTCTGCTAAGTAAAGGTAACGTATTTGACCAAACAGGAGGGCCTGGCATGCTCTGGTCCATGGGATCACCAAGACTCGGACATGACTTAACAACTAAACAACAACAACAAAGGTATCATAGAGCCATGGCTTTCAAACTATGTCTCAGTGTACTTAATGGTTAATCAAAGGTAAGACCAGAGCAAGAGTCCTTCAGTAATGGAAGACTTGTACATTTTATGCATACCCTAGACCCCTCTACAACCAAACAAATGATTATACAAAATATGCTTTGAAAGTAGGATATTGGAATATTACTGAACCAGAGAACCTAGAAAGTGGAAAAAGTATGAATCAGCATATAAATGATGCAGTCAATGTGAGAGACAGTCCAAGAACATTTGGGTTACCCAAGGTTGGGAACCACTGTTCTAGAAAGAATGAATAAAACCCAAATACATGATAAAGGATACATGACATAACTATTATTTCCTTTTTTATCTATCTTTCTTAAGGTACACTCAGGATTTTTCTTCATAAACCATGGTTACATTTTCATATTGCAGTGGACTGTTCCTTACTTCTGTTTTTTTCTAGCACTGTTTGCAACGACTAGAACCAACCATCTCAGCTTCCTCTTCCTGCTCCATTTTCTCCTCAGTGCCTAGCAATTCTTCAAGTGATCCCAGCCATCACTGGCACAGTAAGAATATGGCTGAGTACTGACATTCTGTGGCTACATAATGTCACTGAGGGCAAAAGAAACCAGTTAAGACTGAAGGGGATGATCCTTGGCTATGCTGCACCCTCTTTCTGAACAGACATTCCAATTCAACAGAGACGGCTCAAGGACCTAGCAGAGATTCTGGTGCCACCCCAACATTTCAAGGTGAGTTTCCCTGCTCTATCCATGAGCCACCAGAAACATTAACTTGAGCATAGAAAGCCTGAAAAGTTGCTCAATTTTGTGCAGCGATGTAACAACAATCCCTGTCTTCATTTCCCCTTCATATTTTAATATGATTGTACAGTATGACAGAAACATCAGAATTGTTTATTTATATCATGACCTGCCATAAGGGTAGTTTTTGTTCATCTATGCAAACAAGGTCAACACTTTGGAGATTATTTTGTATACAGTTTGATGGGCACTCATGGAACCATTTTTCCATTCCAACACTTACAAACAGAAATGCAGTAGTACCTGCATTTGTTCTGTCTCAGGACGTTCAGCGGCTTCCGCTAGTTTCTGTAGGGCAATATACTTGTTATCCACTAATGATGTAAACATCAGCTTCAGGTTATCCTGTCAAATGAAAGAAAAACAATATGCAAAATTATATAATGGCAGGATGTTAGTCAGCCATACTTTGGGGCATAAGCTTCTTCCTTAAGCAGATGTATACTTCAATCCCCACTGTTCACTAAAGATATATTAGGCACTGAGGAAATCCTGGGACCAAATAATGATGTGTGAGATTTGTACATGGTATAATATAGCTTGTTCTGTTCTAGCACCTACTGTTAACACCCAATAACACAGGGCTGTTGAAAATGATATGGGATGCTGAATAGTCTAGTTGTAGATGTCTTCATATATAAATACTGATGTATTTCATGAATAGTTGTTGATGCTACATGAAGACGGGAGTACATATTCTATTGGACAGGTAGGTAAATGTGGAAAAAAAAAATCAGTCTCACTGCTGAAATTGAAATTCTTTTACACAACTTGCACAGTGTGTAAAGCTCCCTTGGGATCCATTTCATTGTAGAAAAGCTACTGGGATCCACAAGGAAGGCAGTATTTAGTCTCCAAAATTATAGCCATTGCTACAATAATTTATTATTTACTTACTTACTTACTTACTTACTTACTTACTTACTTACTTACTTACTTACTTACTTACTTACTTACTTACTTACTTACTTACTTACTTACTTACTTACTTACATTATATCCTGCCTATCTGGTCAGTTAAGACCACTCTTGTCCTGTCCATAATAATTTTCATCTTAAACAGGAAAAATAAAATAATATTGTTACTAAGATCAGTGAAATACCACAAAGTGATGAGGGTGTTTTTGTTGTTGCTGCTACTAATATAAGAACCACCACATCATTCTTAATTTGTGTAAAAATGTGTAAAAATCACCTTGGGTTCTTTTTTAAAGAAAGGTGGGATAAAATGTTTAAAATAAATAATAAAGAAATAAATAAAAGGGAGTAGGATAAAGGAATATATTATAGTAGTAGAATCAGAATTTGCAGCCTTATCAGAGTTATGCTCGGAATTGATTTGGTATAAACAATTAGTAAAAGATTTGAAAATAGAGACATGTGGTGCAATAAAGGTTTTGGAAGATAATACCACATGCATACCTATGGCTTTAACAGAAAGAGTAAAAAATAGAAGCAAACATGTGGATATCAAATACCACAATGTAAGAGAAGCAATAAAAGAGAAATTAATTGAATTGGAATATTGTAAGACAGAGGAAAATGTACCAGATATCTTAACAAAACCTTTGAATGCTCAAAAGCATAGTGAAATAATTAAAAAAATGGGATTATGTTCTGTTCAGGTATAAAATTAGGAGGGGTGTCAAAGTATTGAGAATTTTATAGGCTTGAACAGGTCCAGACTGTAACATTAATGAACTGCCATGATGATCACCTGTGCAAGTGCTGAGTCACAGTGACTAAGAAGAAGATGATGCAACATCTGGGGATGATGTAACACCCATGTAAAGGAAGATGATGCAACACTTGAAGTGACTGGACAGAAGCATCAGTTCAACTGTATATAAGGGAACATTGTGAATATGAATGTATCTCCTTCTTTCCTCTATGCTACTATCCTCTATGTACTTTGCCTCTATTTTTACTGCCACGCTGAAGGTCTGCTACTTTGTATATTTGTATATATTTTTGTTAATACACGTGTCTTTTTGTTGAAGAAGAGAGTGTGTTTTTTTTCCTTCAATCAGAGAACTCTGCACATTAAACAGCAAGAAGCTGACATAAAGACTAACATATTTATGTCAATATGGCTTTCATAGATCAGAATCCACTTCTCCAGATACAGAAAGTGCAAATACATCTTCCCTATATTTATTTCCGTGGTAGTGAGAGTCATGAGCAAGTGAGGATACCAATAATAGACAAAGCGACAATGGTTCTCTAACACAGGAAGACTATGATGTTGTTAATTAGCAGATCCTAGCCAGAGTGCTAAACTATAAGCCAGGTAGACCTGGGCACCACGCAAATGCCAAGAGTTGTTAATGGGACAGAGGCCATAGAGGAAACAGGCATTTTAGACCCACAAGATACTAAGAAAGCTGGTTACTAATATACATAGTACACTAAGAAGCTTTGGTCTTTACTGTGATGCACTGGAACATGTTTACATGAGAGCCTCGTGGCACAGTGGTTAAACTGCAGTACTGCAGTTAAGACTCTGCTCACAACCTGAGTTTGATCTTGACAGGGCTCAGGTGGCTAGCTCAAAGTTGACTCAGTCTCCCATCCTTCTGATGTCAGTAAATTGAGTCTCCAGCTTGCTGGGGGGGGGGCGAGGGGCAATATGCAGTCCGCAATGATAGTGGCAATTTGCATACAGGAGAAATAGATCTACTGATGATGCTGTGTTCATTGTACTCCAAACTGTATTGTGTCATTTAGAACAACAGGGAACTTATGCAAAACTGTTGTTTGTGGATTATAGCTCTGCCTTTAATACCATTCTATCCAATAGGTTGTTTTTTAAAATGATAAACCTGATATTACCGCAGAAGATTTGTGTATGGGTAAAGGACTTTCTGACAGATGAGCCACAGTCAGTAAGGATGGGATCTCACCATTCTTCTACCCTGGTACTAAGTACAGGAGCTCCCCAGGGCTGTGTGCTAAGTGCCTTCCTTTATTCCCTGTACACACGACTGCACCCCACTGTATAATACCAACACAATTATTAAATTTGCAATACGGCAGTGGTGGGGCTCATAAATAAGAACAATGAGTCTGCTTACAGAAAGGAAGTACAAGGTTTGATACTCTGGTGTAAAGAAAATAATCATACACTTAACATTAAAAAAATTAAAGATCTCATAATTGATTTTAGGAGGAAGAGAAATGTACATTTACCACTGTACATAAATGGCGAGGAAGTGGGCAGAGTTGGTAGTTTTAAATTTCTGGGCACTTACATCTCAGAGGGCCTCTCATGGACTATAAATGCCAACATGCTAGTGAAGAAGGCACAGAAGAGGCTGTATTTCCTGAGAATGCTCGGCAAGTTAAATTTATCTCAGCATTTACTTCTGTCCTACTATCGTAGCACCATTGAGAGTGTCCTAACCTATGGCATTCTGGTATGGTTTGGGAGTAGCTCTGTAGCAGACAAAAAAGCTCTACAAAGAACCATTAAAATTGCCCAGAATATCATTGAGCTCCAGCTATCAACCCTGGGTGACATCTTCGCATCCCGCTATCTGAGGAAGTCACACAACATCCTGAGAGACTCTTCCCATTCTGCTTACAATTTTTTTTCAACTGTTGCCGTCTGGCAGAAGATATAGAACAATTAAGACTCAGACCACATGTTTTCTGAATAGTTTTTATCCCAGAGCTATAATTGCACTTAATAATGAACTTAAAAACCACCAGTAGTGAACAGTTGGACAGTGTTACTTAGCCTGCAGTGTAGATGTTTGTATTTTTAGTGGGGGATTTTTAGTGGGTGGGGAGTGTTTGGGGATTTTTTATGTGTGTGCATGTGGATCTGGTCTCTGGGTGTCTGTGTGAATTTCCTTGTATGGGTATACTATGTATATATTTACAATGACAATAAATTTATTTGATTGAATAGTGTTTTAAGTGCTATGGCGTGATATATGTAGCACACTTTAGCCATTTTCTGGTGTCTCGTTTTTGAATCTCTTTTTCTAATCCCTTTTTTGAACAATAGCTAATTTAAGATCCATAACAAAATGTCCAGGGAGGCTGAAGTATTCTGAAAACTGGACAATCTTTGTGAGGAAGAATGAATAGATCCCTATCTAAAGTCAAAAATAGCAACACAGAGAAAACAGTTTCGGTGAAAATGTAAGCTTCCACAAAACTACAAAAACTAACCAAATGAAATTCTAGGAGCCCTGAAAATGAGGTGAAGAACTGGAAGCAGCCTGCCTGTGTAAATAAAGCTTCTTGGAAATACTGGAACCACTCTATACTCATTCTTTCCTGAAGCTGGACAGAAAACTGCCCTTCCTATGACCTTATCAGAAATAAATTACTAACAAGCAGCTGCAGGATAGATAAAGTGTTGTCTAAAATGATGTCTTGAAACATAGTATTCAGAGATCCTGGGAAGGGTGCTGCACCTGTAAGAATACTCAGTATGGAGCCAAAACAGAAAACATTCTTCTGAGAAATATTTTGGGCCAGATTTAATTGTTAGTCCCAATTAGAGTACAATCAGACATTGATTTCTTTACTGTTATAAAAACACAGTAATTTTGCTGACCACTGTGCCCTAGAATGACACTAGGTGTGGGGATCTGTGAATGGATCAAAATGGAGGCCAAGCAGCCAACATGATTGTTCTTGTTGCCACTTGCAGTGTTGCTGCAAAATGAAAAATTTGTAAGAGAAAAAATAACAAAGCTGTGCTATAGTTCCTGGTCATGGTGAGATACGCCCCAGAGAAACTGTTGGAGAGTTTCTTTCCCCCTAGATGGAATTTGGCAAAGCTGTCTCTCCAATTTCTCTTTCCCCAAATAGGGTGGAGGATTTCAAGAGGTCATTGGCCCACAGGTACAAATACTATGTATTTTAAATCAGAGAGATCATGAGCATTTGGTGAAATTCTACCTGAAAGCTCAGTATGTGTTGCAATCTTTCTTTCATCTGCTCACATCTTTGGTTCACTAGTGTCTCCAGTAACACTAGTCTCTTTAGCAAACAATCCAAGGTCTCTTCAATAACATCTCTGTTATCAGCATTCTCAGGAAACATATGAGAAAACAAATTCTTGTTCTTGTCCATTTTTTCTGCCATCTCCTTTATATCTTTAGCAAGAGCCTGGAGCACATGCAAAATCAAGACAAGGTCATAGAATGAGGTACTCTCAAAATAGTATATCATCAATTCTGAACTAACTACATCTCCTAAAAGTAATGACGGTGATGTACGGCCGGATACCTTGATGTCTTCCTAAGATTTGCTTCATACTTGGATTAAGATCAAACTTGCAAATCTGAAGGTGTAGATGTGTGGAATCTATATCTTGTTAATACAGAATAAATAATTCACACCTTACATACACAACAAGTCTTAGATTGTAGTTCTACATACAGTGGTGCCTTGCTTGATGAGGATAATCCGTTCCAGCAAAATTGCTGTAGAATGAAATCGTCATCAAGCGAAAGTAAAAAACCCATCGAAATGCATTGAAAACTGGTTCAATGCGTTCCAATGGGCGAAATACCTCAGCGTCCAGCGAAGATCCTCCATAGGACGGCCATTTTCTGGTGCCTGTACAGCGAAAAAGCCTTCCTAAACACAGCGGGGAGCCATTTTGAAACAGCAGGCGGCCATTTTGAAACCTGACGATCAGGTGTTTTGCTCGTCGTAAAGCGAAAAATCGGTTCCCGAAGCACGGAACCGATCATCATCAAGTGATTTTCTCCTATTAAAACATCGGTTTGCGATCGCTATAGCAATCGCAAAATACTCATCGTTAAGCAATTTCCTCGTCTAATGAAGTAACTGTCAAGCAGAGCACCACTGTATTTGCCTGGAAGTAAACTACAGCAATTTCCTCGTCTAATGAAGTAACTGTCAAGCAGAGCACCACTGTATTTGCCTGGAAGTAAACTACACTGAAAGGGACGTGGTGGGGCTGTGGGCTAAACCGCAGAAGCCTGTGCTGCAGGGTCAGAAGACCAGCAGTCGTAAGATCGAATCCATGAAACGGAGTGAGCTCCTGTCACTTTGTCCCAGCTCCTCGCCAACCTAGCAGTTCGAAAGCATATAAATGCGAATATATAAATAGGTACCATCTCGGTGGGAAGGTAAAATGGCGTTCCCTAGTTATGCTGGCCACATGACAACGGAAACTGTCTTCGGACAGGCACTGGCTCTATGGCTTGAAAAGCGGGATGAGCGCCGGCCCCTAGAGTCAGACACGATTGGACTAAAAAATGTCACGGGAAACCTTTACCTTTAAAACAACACTGAACACACAGAGACTTACTTTTGAATAATCTGGCATAGAACTGGAATGCTAACAAAAGCACCAATGTCAATACAGAGTTCTTTTATGTATACAAGCCTTGATGGTCACTTTATAGCAGGACAAGAACCCGATTGGTCCATTGAAACAAATTGGAAATCTTGAACAAAAGCAATGGCTTTAAGGTAGTGGTTGCAACATGTAAGCTATAGACCAGTGTTCCCAAACCTTTTCTGGTACGTGGATTTTGCTGGGGAAGGCAGGGCACCCCGTGCTTGTGCGCATGCACAAACAAGTGCTCTCTCTCTCTCTCTCTTGCACAGGCATGTGCGCACCCACATGAGTGCCACACCACCATCTGCACATGCGCATGGGCCCACACGAGCACATGCTGCCATATGCGCCCGCCCGCTCATGCGCATGCACAAATGGCGGCACTTGCTCATGCAGGTCCGCACGCATGTGCAAATGGCGACGTGGTGCTCACGTGGGCAAGCCAGACCATGTACACAGGCGCAAGCGGGCGGCGCAGGGGTGAGTGTGCATGGGGGGGAGGGGAAGGTCTCTCTCGGTGGCCTAGTCTAGGCCAGGTCAGGGACCGGGGGTTGGGGATCACTGCTATAGACCACACATATCTCCTCAACCATTTTTGCAGTTTGTGCCTTCACCATTTGCTTCCACTATTTCCAATATCAACAGCATCAGCAAAACTGGATTGCTCAAATTCAGTATTGTGGCAAAGGTCAGGGACCGGGGGTTGGGGATCACTGCTATAGACCACACATATCTCCTCAACCATTTTTGCAGCTTGTGCCTTCACCATTTGCTTCCACTACAGTATTTCCAATATCAACAGCACCAGCAAACCTGGATTGCTCAAATTCAGAATTGTGGCAAAAAAGTGCACACAGAGAGGTAAGCTTTTCTTCTGTCTTTTTGTTCCACAAGGGAACAAAATGCTCTGGCCTGACAATCTTCAGGACTCTGTAGTGTGGTTGGAGGCAAATATGGTAGCACTGGGGGGGGGGGGGGCGGAGGACCTGTCAACAGTTGACAGATTTCGTGGTTGTGCGGTCCCTTCTAGGCCCTGTGCCCTTCCACGTACTGGGAAATTGCATTAAGGTATGAACATCAAGGGATTTCTTTTGACTGGATAAATTCTTAGTTAGATTTCCCTTTTCAAGTAGTTTCAGTGATTTTTGTTATGGTATTACTTTTACTGGATTGACAGGAGTGCAAACACCCAGTGCTTCTGCTTGACCACCTTGTAATATTACAGTTAATTTTAACTCATATTCTATTTAGCTACATCTTTTAGTAAATGAATACAACAACAACAACAACAACAACAACAACAACAACAACAACAAAACAACAACAACAACAACAACAACAACAACAACAACAACAACAACAACACAGTTACCTCCTGATTATAGAGACAAGTTTCTGTCACTTCAGGTAATAGTGCTGTGGAAACAAACAAACGCTCTTCAACACCATCTAGCCAGGAAGAGGTGGCTGAAACACCATTGTACAATTTTTGCTCTAAGAGCAGAGTCTCCTTCTCAGCACTTCCGCTCTGAAGAAAGCCATCCGAAAGGAGAGAGAGAGAGAGAGAAAGAGAGAGATCTGTTAGTAAAATGAGATATTTGGAGAGGAGAAGAAAAAGATAGTGAACTAATTTTATCCTTCATTTACCTCAGGGTTGGGAATTATGCAGGCTCTGTGCCACATACAGTCCCCAAGACTATTTTGTGATGCCTCAGAAGAAACAAATTTTTACTCCAATTTAGAGGACATTTTTAAAAATGATATAATCACACCATAAGAGGGAGTAGTTATGAGGCTTACATTATGTACTGGCACAAATATATATAAATTATATATACATTTTAAAACAAGAACTTAACAAACAAGCCGGGAAGCAACATTTTGATCATTTTTGTTTCACCAGAGGGACAGGTGAAAAGGGTTCTTGAGCTGCCCCCAGACCTTGCTCAGCCCTGATTTATAGAACTCAGATTCAAAACACCAAACAAATATGAGCCTACCCTACCTATCAAAGGTGTATCTAATTAAAATTAACATAATAAAATATATTGTACCTGAGAAGAAACTTCTTCAAATGCTTCATTCAAATTGACCAACAAAGATGCAACTGATGGTTTGTCTTGAGTTTGCCCCTCTTGTTTGTACAACGGCATGCCAGCCATAAGTCTGTTTGTTCTACTATAGATCTGTGGGGGGTGGGGGACAACATTAACAGTATTTTGAACATGTGGAAATGTAAATGAGATTAATGATTTTATTCTTCTCATACAGCTAGAATGGCTCTGGTTTAAGACTATTTTCTTATTCATATTCAATAAATAGCATGATGGTGCCATGCCTTTTTCAACTTTAGTTTGCTACACAAAGTGTAAAAATGATATTATACTTACTGGCTGCTCCTGTTCTTGTTCTACAGCATTTTGTAGAAGTTTGTGCTTAATGCTAAATTCCTGATGAAGGCTTTCCCACTTCATTTTCATTTGATCATCAACAGATGGCTTCTCTCCTTCTAAACTTAGCTCCTGTGTTAACACATCAGGCTTCTTGCTGTGATGGAAAATATAAAAATATATATGCAGTACTGGAAATGCAGTTACTTGGAGGCACCTGTATACATTTAGATGCTGATATTTATAATAATGATAGCATCTGATATGAAAGAACAGTATCTAGACCTTCATAAGCCACTATGATAACACACTTTTACAATGGATTAGGAGTGGGCCAGTTTTTAATGAGAGCATTTTGCTGATTTCTCCATAACTAGGAGAAAATGGAGATACAAATCCTTGGTTATCTAATCCTTGCCTTTGAGGATAAGGATGTGAAAAACTATTATCTTGCCCTGTGAGAGGGTGAGGCTTAAAAAAACCCCAATTCCATAGGAATGAGAAAAAGAAGAAAACGTGCCAATTAAACAAAATCATTGGGCCAAATCATAAACTCAATCCAAGACTCTTATTTTAAATGTAAACTATCCCCTGTAAGATGCTGTTTACAGTAAAACACAAGGAGCTCAGAAAAGTGTGGACCTATACAAGCATGATCAAGGAAATCAAAGCTGTTGAACAAAACCCAAATGTATTGAGCCTCACCCAGAATACACATTATCTGGAGCAGATTGCTGGGTTAGAATTTCTTCTCCACGACTTGCCACTGAGCGAAGTAGATTTTTTTGCTCTGCTAGCTCTTTCTCTAGTTCCTAAAAATAATCCAACAAAATTGTTTTAGCAACAATGTACTGTCTTCTGTTCATGAATACTAAATACACAAGCACCTCCATACATTGTAGGCAGACGTAAAAAGAAATATATTCTTAATAGATAGTCACTGACAGAATTTATGAAATACTGAACAAATATGAGTCAGGTTGTCTCAATTCAGAAAATAACCAGCATTTTTCATTGAAACAGTAGACTGGCCACAGTAACAACACCTCCTTGCTTCTCAGTTCCTGATCAGCAGTTTGCATGCTCAGGCCATTTCCAATTCTTAATCTGACCACCAACACAGTTTCCCTTTCCTCTGGACACTCACAGCAAGGTCCAGATACATGCATGAGGGACAGTTTCTTGAGTAAAGTTATTATTCCAAAATGTCTACTGTCTGGGGGTGGGTGTAAAAAAGACAGGTCCAATAGGATTCAGTTGCGCACACTTTGTCCTCCAACAGCAGTGTAGGGGAGTGGCTTCCACAGGTCCCTGTTATGACTGGTCCATCTCCCACCTCCTGTGTGCCTTAGATTTAGTCTCACACTATAAGCATCTCCATGCTGAATTTCTTCCAACAACTGTGTGTCTCTTCTCATAGCTAGCAAGGGCCAGGAGAAGAGCTGGAGTATGCTAGGACACTGGAGGCCTTCACAGTAGAAAGGGCACAAGCCACTGTATCATCAATTGCTACAACAGGTGTTCTGCAGTTCAGCATCCTATCCCCTCGAGCAGGGACTGCCTCTGCATGAGCAGCCACCAGGGGGCGGTGCACTGCATCGCCAAACATCTCTCGGGGAAGTAAATGAACTGGTTCTGTATCTGTGCCCATCTCTATTTACAAGAATAAAATGGCCTTGCTGTTCCAGACCAGAGAACACTAGCCACTGAGGGAAGGTCTGGATAGCCATGGAAGCCACTTCACACAATGTTCTTTGAGTTTGAAAAGCACAGGTTTCTAGCTTTGGAATTCTGCATGCCAATTTAAGGTTATTTGGAGCTAGAAGAACCAATGTGGAATTGTTCTCTTTCCTTCCTCAATGGCCAAAGCTCTGTGCAAAAACAACAAACAGTTTTGTAGTGTTGTTTATACAATGTCACCTCTTTCATGATAGCAGAGGTGAAGTGCTGGCTTTGCATCAGAATTATGTGGCTTATTTAGCCCAGACTACAATGTCTAAATGTATACCAAGGACATGTCTGCAAATCTCTGCCTTTATCACCTTCTACGTGAGCTGGGAGCCTAAGTGAGCAAGACCACCAGCTTGTGTGGGGACCTTTGCACATTGAAATATATGCGTATGTTTCTCTCATACAGATGCTCATAGATGTTAGGGAAAGGGTCAGGGAAGTTGTGTAAATCCAGTCCTTACAAGACAAGGGCAGAACCCAATGTCCCATTAAATATATGGAGCTCCCATATGGTTAAACAGGGCATGCTCACTTTTTGTCTCTGTAAGCTGTTCTGCTGTTGCTGAGAACGGGTCGTCCGTGCCTGTGCCAGCCATTCCTGGACACTGGGAGTCTGAGAAGTGACCAGATCTGTTTCACATTCTTCTTTTTCTTGTAGAGCTCCCTGCTTTTAATAAAGAAGAGGAAAATACATGTGAAAGAGACAACACAAAAGACATAAGAGTTAACGAGCCTGGATTGTCACTGGGATCCTATTCTATTTTTTGACTGATTGCACAGATCTCTATTCATACCTATTTAAATGGGTCTAAAAGGGCCTGCATAGAAGCTTCATCTATGCAAAATTTAATCTGCTCAGAACACTCTTTGGGCTTTTGGCTGTTGTGCCAAAAACCTTCACACAGACATACAGTTATGATCCTTGTGAGACTGAGACTATACACATAGGCAAACTGACATGACCATGACGGGTATTTACATCTCCTGGATCCTGCTCCAAACACCCAAGTCATTATACCATACTGACTGTCAGTGCAAGCAGAGCTCAGATTCGCCTGATGTATTTTGTGGTCTTAAAGCAAAAATGTTGTCTCCATCTATTTAATGGCACTTCATTGTCATTTTGGGATGAGATGCTCTTCCTTACTCTGACTGTTTATTTATTTATTCAATTTATATACCACCCATCTGGCCAAAGACTACACTGGGTGGTTCACAGGACAAAATAACATACAAAAATCAGATTGTAAAGTACAACACAAGTATATGAAAATACTATAACAAAATCAAATCAGACAATTTAAAATACAATCTAAAAATACCTAAACATTTAAATTGGCAGTATACAGTGGCTATTAATGGTTAGTTTCAGTGTCAGCAGGCTCTGTGGATGTCATAGTTTGAAAGGCCTGCCTGAATAGCCAGATTTTGAGTTGACTAAGTGTTGTCACTGCAGCCAAATGCTTCCAGAATTCTTACAGTCAGGATATAGCAACAACGTATTCAAAAGTATAAAATTATAAATAGAAGATACGATTTACAATGTTGTATTTGACCTAGCAAATGATCATATAACTTCATTAAGTGGTTAAAATTAATTAATGACAATATTTTATACATCTTTGAAATAGTGCTGATTTTTTTTGTCCCATTATTAAAGATATAATATTTCAAAATCAAAACACAAAACTAACGAAAGCCCTAGTTCAAGTAGTTTATCTTTTGATTACTGGAAATATGACAGACAGACAGACAGAGAGACAGACAGAGAAAGAAAGAAAGAAAGAAAGAGAGAAAGAGAGAGAGAGAAAGAGAGAAAGAGAAAGAGAGAAAGAAAGGTGAACAAGATTTAAGTCTTCCCAACCAAGGAACAGCAAACAGTGTAGTGCTTTTTGGAATTTGGGATGAAAAAGCAATGTAGAAACAAGGAAATTAAACTTAGCTGACAAGGAAATTCTGACTGGCCCTTTATTAACCAACCGCTCTCTCCCTTTGAGTTTTCCCCAACCCCCATACTAGATATGGAAAAATGCAAACCCAACCCCCCTCCCCTTGAAAGCCAATTAGGAAGAGCTTCTTACTTGGATGTTGATCTGCTTGTCATGGAGGACTCTCTGCAACTCCAGAAGGCTTCCCTTCAGCGTTCTTAATTTTACTGCCAACTGTTCAGCCTCATCCTTGGTATGAGCTTTTCCTTCCATGAGAAGGTTCTCATTGTGTACAGACAGCTCAGACAAAGCCACAACCTTCTGCTCAATTTCCACAAGCATGTTCTGAAGCAGCAAAAACAAGGAGGCAAATTCATACATCCTGAAGCATCCAGCAGGGGCCTACCTCATCCTCTTCCATATTAGAGCAAAAGAGGTGTGCATTGTTGCCCTTCTGGTCTTCTCCAATGTCTTCAGAAATGTGCTTTCAATATTTTGCATTTCCCAAACTTGTAAGTAATTTTTTTGGTTATAAGAAACATCGTTGCTTCAGAGCACAGATGTTTAAGTAGCACAGATTTCATTAGATTTCATTGAGGCTCAGGTGCTTAAATGCTGCCCCACTATTTTACAGCAGCAATGTGCAGAATCTGTGATATCCCAATAATAGTTACAATAAAGAGATCAATATCAATTATGGCTGCTCTATTCTTTTTCTTTTTTGCCCACTTCTCTTTATTCTGGGTAGGTCCCCTTCCCTTCCCTGCCCTTCTCTTCCTTTCCTGCTCATATTGCCCTGGTTGTATCAATAAGCCTCCCTTCTCACTGTGGAACTTTCTGATTGGTGCACAAATGGCCTTAAGATCCTCCACGTAATCTTCTTTCGTCTAGAAAGCGACTTAAAGAGATAAATCTCTGGCATGTTTATTTTGAAATGCCAATAAGTATACACAATACAAAAAAAGGCGACAATACTCTGACACTGACAAATTTAAAGATTTGCACTTATTCATCTTCAGCGTTTCAATCTGCCAGCTAATAAGACAGTGGAAAGGAACATAGAAATGTAAGGACTATATTTCTGTAAGACAAATTAATCTGTTACAAGATTTTTGATTTTAATTATTTGGCATAAAGTAATAATTTTTACTATGTTTCTTTATAATTCTGTAGAAAACTCGCTGCTATCACTCTAATAGCTGGCTTTTAAAAATTTATACAGTGAAAGATTAAGACAGGACTGAATTACACTTTCAGGAAGCACTAGGAATACAAGTACATTCTCTGTTTCTGTATTACCACAATTTTGTTAGGTTCATAATAGATGCTCTGGTTCACTTCTGCAAATCAGTTCACAATAGAGAATTGCGAGGAGTACAGAGGTATGCAAAATGCCATGTGCAAGTCATATGTAAAGTGACTAGCAGCTTACTTTCTGTTAGAAAAATCTAAGGTTTAAAACAAGTCAGGATATAGGACTGTTTTCAATGTCAGATTTTGCCACCCGAATGCTTCCTAGTAGTGCAATTTGCAATTTCAGGTACCAACATCTGGGGCCTGTTGTGAGTAGGGATGCTTGAGGCAGTGCAGCTTTCTAAGTTACTGGTGGGGGGAGTAGACCCTGGACCACCAGAAGCTGACCACCTAATTTAATGTCTCTGTTAAGACATAATATTAATCATGGTATTCTATAGAGAAGTGAGAGTGAAGCTTGAGCTATTGTCAATGAGCTAATGTTCAGCCCCATTGGGCAGGGTTCTGCCCCTCGTGTGTATGGCTTTGTCCCACTCATGTGTGACTCTGTCCCCACCGACCCCTCCGGCACGGGGATTTGTCATGACAGCAACCAAAAGGGATGAAAACGAGGCTGGAAATGATCATTGTGGGTGTGTGGAGGAGGAGCCCTGTGCGGAGGGGGGGAGAGTTGCATGCACACATACACATAGGCATGCACCTTAGAGAAAACCTTGCTTGAGGTCCTCCCTTACCTATCTTTCCTCATCACAGATTGAAGAAACCAGAAGCATTTGTATTAAAAGTAACATGAGGTTAGTATTATGTCCAAACTGCAGAAACTCTAGGTAGTTTAAACTTCTGTTTATTAACAGGACAAAACAACCTTACATTTATTGTGGCTTGTTTGTGTCTACAAACTACTGTAATTTAACCTAACCAGAGTTAATACATAGTGAGCAAACTCCTGTTGGTCAGGGCAAACCAGATTGGGAGACATACACATTTAATAAAAACTTACTATCTCCTCTTTTTTTGTTCTAAGGCTTCACATAGCTTCCTTTTGCTCTAGGGAAGCTTTTGGGAGCCTTGGAATGGGAGGAGAGTCTTTAAAAGTCTGCCTTGTCATAGCGAAGGGGCTTCAGTAATTCAGAGAAGCTATGGGCTATGCTGTGCAGGGACACCCAAGACGGACAGGTCATAGTGGAGAGTTCCGACTAAAAGCGATCCACCTGGAGCAGGAACTGGCAAGCCACTCCAGTATCTTTGCCAAGAAAACTCCATGAACAGAAACAAAAGGCTAAAAGATATGACGCTGGAAGAGGAGCCTCTCAGGTTGGAAGATGTCCAACATGCTACTGAGGAAGAGCGGAGGACAAGTACAAGTAGCTCCAGAGCTAATGAAGTGGTTGGGCCAAAACCAAAAGGACGCTCAGCTGTGGACGTGCCTGGAAGTGAAAGGAAAGTCCAATGCTGCATAGAAAAATACTGCATAGGAACCTGGAATGTAAGATCTATGAACGTTGGTAAGCTGGATGTGGTCAAACAGGAAATGGCAAGAATGAACATTGATATCCTGGGTGTCATTGAACTAAAATGGACAGGAATGGGCGAATTCAATTCAGATAATTATCATATCTACTATAGTGGAAAGGATCCCGTAGAAGAAATGGAATAGCTGTCACAGTCAACAAAAGAGTGGGAAAAGTGTACTGGGATACAATCTCCAAAATGACAGAATGATGTCAATACAAATTCAAGGCAGATCTTTCAACATCACAGCAATCCAAGTTTATGCACCAACCACGAATGCTGAAGAGGCTGAAATTGACCTTTTCTATGAAGTCTTACAACACCTTCTAGAACTGACACCAAAGAAAGATATCCTTCTCATTATAGGGGATGGGGGTGCTAAAGTAGGGAGTCAAGAGATAAAAGGAACAACAGGTAAGTTTGACCTTGGAGTTCAAAACGAAGCCGGGCAAAGGCTAATAGAGTTTTGTCAAGAGAACAAGCTGGTCATCACAAACACTCTTTTCCAACAACACAAGAGGCAACTCTACACATGGACATCACCAGATGAGCAATACCAAGGTCAGATTGATTATATTCTCTGCAGCCAAAGATGGAGAAACACTATACAGTGAGCAAAAAGAAGACCTGGAGCTGATTGTGGCTCTGATCATCAGCTTCTTATAGCAAAACTCAAGCTTAAACTGAAAGAAAGTAGGAAAAACCACTGGGCTAGTCAGGTATAATCTAAACCAAATCCCTTATAAATACACAGTGGAAGTGAAGAATAGATTTAAGGAACTAGATTCAGTGGACAGAGTGCCGGAAGAACTATGGATGGAGGCTCGTAACATTGTACAGGAGGCAGCAACAAAAACCATCCGAAAGAAAAGGAAATGCAAGAAAGCAAAGTGGCTATCCAATGAGGCCTTACAAATAGCAGAGAAGAGAAGGGAAACAAAATGCTAGGGAAAGTTACAGAAAATTGAATGCAGGCATCCAAAGAATAGCAAGGAGAGACAAGGGGGCCTTCTTAAATGAACAGTGCAAATATATAGAGGAACAAAATAGAAAGGGAAAAACCAGAGATCTGTTAAAGAAAACTGGAGATATTAAAGGAACTTTTTGTGCAAAGATGGTCATGGTAAAGGACAAAAATTGTCCTGGACAACCCAGATAGTGTGGTTGCAGACCTTGAGCCAGACATCCTGGAGAGTGAAGTCAAGTGGGTCTTAGAAAGCATGACTAACAACAAGACCAGTAGAGGTGATGACATTCCCATTGAATTATTTAAAATCTTAAAAGATGATGCTGTTAAGGTGCTACGCTAAATGATCACTGCTGATGGTAACAGCAGCCATGAAATTAAAAGATCCCTGCTTCTTGGGAGGAAAGCAATTACAAACCTAGACAGCATCTGAAAAATCAGAGACATCACCTTGCCAACAAGGGTTCGCATAGTCAAAGCTATGGTTTTTCCAGCAGCCATGCATGGAGGTGAGAGCTGGACCATAAAGAAGGCTGACAGCTGAAGAACTGATGCTTTTGACTTGTGATGCTGGAGGAGACTCTTGAGAGTCCCCTGGACGGCAAAGAGACCGAACCTATCCATTTTGAAGGAAATCAACCCTGAGTGCTCACTGGAACGACAGATCCTGAAGCTGAGGCACCAATACTTTGGGCATCTCACGAGAAGAGACAACTCCATGGAAAAGACCCTAATTTGGGGAAAGTATGAAGGCAAGAGGAGAAAGGGATGACAGAGGACGATATGGTTGGACAGTGTCATCGAAACTACCAACATGACTTTGACCAAATCTGGGAGGCAATGGAAGACAGGAGGGCCTGGCATGCTCTGGTCCATGGGGTCATGAAGCGTCGGGCATGAGTTAACAACTAAAGAACAACAACATTTTTATTGTGTCTAATTTGCAAGTACCAACATCAAATAATGGCTTGTTTAGATACTTTTTACATGTTCATGACACATGCAGTTTGTGAAAAAGCTGTGCGACAGAGATATGAAGGCAGAGGTGTTTGCCTTGCACATGTAATAGACTGCTTTTAGATTGGCTGCTTGCTGTATATAGCTTTGGCAGGCGTAAGGGCATCCTGTATATGATGTCAGGTCTAAATCAGATCTAATATAACAACACAAAAATCTCATAAAGGTGAAAGAAAAGCAATATTTATGGGAGAAGATTATTTACCTGGCAATCAACCAGTTGTGAGTCCATATCCATAGGTTCTTCAGCAGTAACTAATGTAGTGTCTAATGTGGCTTTTGTATTTAGGAGCCAGTCATCAAGTTCATCTGCCTCAGTGCGGTATCTCTGCAGAGCTTGCTCTTGCCGCTGTTCTTCTAGCTGCTCATTAAGTTTTTCCTGACAATTAGATCTGGATGTTATTTGCAATGCACTTGATTTCAAAGATACCAAAATAAATAAATAAATATGTATGATCATAATGTAGTAGAAATCAGACTATGTAAAAGAAAGGGAAGAAGACAGTGTAAGTCTAGAACAGATCTACTCACATAAAATAACCCTAAGAATTTGATTAAAATTTCTTATGGTTGCAAAGCAGTTTAATTTAAAAAATGAAAGAAAAAAGGAAATTAATATTTGAGGAACTGGCAGGGGAAACAAAGACATAAGGCTGGAAGGAACAGCCTATCAGTAGATGCAAGGGGGTGTAAGTGTGCAGATCACCTCTGCTGAATTTTATTATGGGGTAATTGTGCACATATTGCAGTAAATGCTAAAATGTGATTAGAATTCAGCAGCCGCTGGACGGGCACAAAGCCTGAGAACAATACAGAACCAAAACAAATCTTGCCTATTACGTCATTAGCACACATACACAATATATGCTTTATCAACTAATTTTTCATTATGTGATTACTAGTCACTCAATGACCTGAGGTTAAACGAGTGAAAAGACTCAACTGAAAAGCACCCACACCACATGAGGCAATATGGAAGTTTTCTGTCTTGATTCTCATCCTCAGCAAGTGTGAACATCCATGTGCTATCATTTTCTATAGCAACAGTAATGAAATATAGGAGTGACTAAAGTTCTTGGAAGCCTTAAAAGACCATACAAATGTAAGCGTGTGGAGAATTTTCAGGCTAAACACTATCATTGCATGAAAACAGCTTTTCATATGCCTTGTACCTCTAACAACTGTCTTTTCCCTGAAGCTTTCATCTTAATAGTGGCCATCCTCTCTGCTAACACAGTGAGCGTGGACTGCAAAGCCAACTGATCAGCAGCATCTGTATCCAGTGGTTCAGACACCAGTTCTTCTGCTAATGATGTTTGTAGCTCACTGATTTCATCTTGAAGCATAAGAATTTCATCCATCAAGGCCTAGTAAAAACAGACGTTGAACAGGTCAACATAGGTTTCAGTACTATTGACAACTATACATGGAAAATTGAAAATATAGCTGAACTCCTCATGTTAAGTGTCAGCACTGGTTGAAAGTAGTGTTTATAAAATAGACCTGATACAGTGCCTATTACATCATACTACAAAGTAACAGAATGAATACAATCCATTTATGAATAAAATTCATAACTGGGGAAAAAACAGGACAGTACATAACCAAATTCTATGATTTCATCTATATTTAGTTGTATCTGAGTAGAGCCATACTTTTCTTCATGTTTGTTTTGTTCCATCAAATTGCTTCAAATTTATGGTGGCTATCATAATATGGTTTTTGAGGTAACATGTAATGTTAAAAATGTGGTGGATTTCCATGGTTAAGCAGGATTTGAACCCAACTCTCTGTCTTAGTCCTAGTTTAACACTCTTTCCACTACACCACACTGACTCTCATGCTCATACTTAGAGGAGACCTAGTGAAATTAAATGAAATCATAGTAATCAACAAAATTCTGGTTCATCATCAAACTAAGTCAAAATGGTAGCTCTTCTTTAATCCAAACTGTTATTCAATTGTCCAAATTACACTTATATTACTGATTCACAAGATTTATAATTTTAGAGATGGTACAGGATTTGATGTACAGGATTTTCCAATTATGATTCCTTACTATATAGATGTAACAAATACTCATGAAGCTACTTAATACAAAAGAATGTCTCAACACAATCTCCTATTTGAGATTTTCAGCTTCTATACAACTGTGAAAAGACTGCATTTTAAAGATCTTCAACAGTATTAACAAAAACAGTTTTAGTGACAAGTTTGTATTTGCAGTTTATGCAAAACTGCAAGGTTCTTTGTGCAAAACACATTTTCAACAAAAAACAAAGCTTTTGGGCAAAAACTGTATTTTTTTCCAAAAGGTGTCAACATGTGCATAAATTCTCAGACTGTCATTCAGTGGCATCACAGTTGTGAGAATTAAAGAAACAAAGATTTACATTTATATTCTTTCCAATAAATATGCTCACTCATGATTTTAACCTCAGAAATTAACCTTTGATGCAATCAACAATAGGGATTTCTAACAACTTGCTTCTCATTCACTACGGGAGTAACAAGCAAGTGTGCTAGAAGTACAAATAATTGGTAGCTTCTTAGTGTCTAAAAATAAAATTTCTAATTGTCCTTCTATTTTTATTTAAACCCCTTACCCCCACCTAATTTCTGCAAAAGCACGGAGTGGAAAACATTCCCAGCACTAATGCCCGCTCTGCTGCCAAGCACACTTTGGCAGCAAGGAGCTTCTCTGCCTTCCACCCGGGATATCATGAGATAAGAGAGTCTCGCAAATGTGACCCGAGATGGGAGGGGGAAGGAGCAACTACTTAACCATGCTTTCCCTCTCCTTTCAGCCTCTTTTTGAGGCCGGCAACCCACCCGTCTGTCCTATGCACTAGTATGACTTTTCCGGTTGTCTTTTGGGGCTGGATAGGAATTTTTGACCCACATCCTGATTGGCATTTTGCTACTTTTTTTGGGGAGGCCAATCCCACACTGGTTGAGGTGTGCAGGCTGTTCATTGGGTTGAAAAAAAATGGTCACACGAGTGGGTAGTGAGGATGGAACAGGTTTTGGCGAGTCCCCTTGCAATCACAGGTAACGTATAGCTCATCAAACCCCCCAGCACTGCAGATTGTGAGATTACAGTGCATGGGGGGAGGGAAGGATGCACTGGGGCCATACCCAGAACGACGATCATCAAGGGGAGGGTTGCCTGAGGTCCAGGGTGGTCAAATTTGAGCTTGCTGGAGTATTGCTGTCTTCAGGACCACGAGACCTCGGGGCATGGGTTTCACCCGTTTGTTCAGTAAGGGGTCTGGTGAAACCCCAAATGCAAAATCTGATTCCACACTATGGCACCTCCCCCCCTTTATGGTTGGCTATATTGGTTTTTTAATAAAGTGTGGCCCATGTTTTTCCAAAAAACCTTGTCTTGCCTCATTATTCCAGGGTGGGGCAGTGGTAAAGAGATCAAACTCATTTTCAAGACACAACTTTGTTAGGCTTTGGGTTGACAAGAAGCATTTTTACCTGGTGTTCTGCCATCTGGCTCTCTGGACTCTTGTCAGTCTCCAGTGTTTCATTTAACTTCACCTCAATGGCTTCCATTTTTGTGGATATGGACTGGAGGGAGTCTTGGTACTTTTGCTGACGTTCAAGGGCCTCGTACAGGGTACGCTGCTTTTCACTAATCTAAAGAAAAACAACCTATCAGTAGGAGGTCAGCTTTCTGGGGGTAGAAACCCATTTATTAAATACATACGTACATACATACAAATATACATATGATTCACTGAAACCGTATAGCCACAATATGCAACATATTTAACTTTGTATAGAAATATACAACATCCACCATATTAAAATGTGGAAAAGGAAGCCCACAGATACCTTGACTTATATACATTACATGTTTCTCTAGTATCATCTTATTTTCTTTTTTAGGATTTGGCCTTGAGATTTTAGTAAACCAATGAGATTGCAATAATGCTAGAGTTATTTAGTATAATGCTACAGCACAAACAAAAGTGCATTTATAATGCCAATAACATACAAAAAGCTTCCAATCCAACACCTGGAACTAAAATGTTTTCAGACTGCCCATATGAAAGGGCATCTTTGCTGAGATTTTATCATTACTAAGCAGACCACATGGCATTTTCCTCATATAGCTGGAGCTTTGCATTATCTTTTATATTTGTCTATTAGCTATCTGGGAACACACTGGTACACAGTTTAGAGTTTTCTTCTATCTATCAAACTCACTAAAACCATGCAGGTATATAAAATAATGCCTTTTCTTCTCTCTACACAAAGAGACTCACCACATTCTTTAATGTTTCCCAAGAACGCTGCAAATCATCCAGCTTGGTACTAGTGCTTGACTCTAATCCTGGTTCACAGGAGTCCTGAGCTGATGATGTACTGGGCTGAATTTTGGAAGCTTCTGTCTGCAACTGTTCAGCAGATAAGGCTTGATAATAAGCAATGTCCTATGAGCATGAAGCACAATATGGTACTTTCAAGAGAAGATGTAACATATACCGTACTTGAAACTTCAGAATAATATAATTTAGTACCTAATGGCACCTCTTCATGAAGAAATGATTTTCATAAGCAATGCCTCAAAAATAGGATTTCTTCCTGAATGGCTGCAGTGCTTGCAGCTGAACCCTGGGTTTGTGGCTTCTCTGGAGCTCAGACTAATCATTCTCTAGCTCGGATCTCTGTTTGGTCCAGTTCTTGTCAGAATTA